CCCCCCCCCCCCCCTCCACCTCCTCCTTTCTTTGTCTTCTTTCTGCGTCAGGCCTCTCCCCCTTCTTCTTCCTCTTCTTCTATTGTCAGATCTCCCGTTTCTTCTTTCTATAGATGGCGATTTTAAATTTTTCAATCTCCTAGATTTGAAAGCTAGATTTCTTTTTTAATTTCATCAATTTTTAGATTTGTAAAATAGATTTGATTTTTATTTCTTCAATTTTTTAGATCTGAAATTTAGATTTTGATTTCTTAATGGATTAAGCTTAAATTTGATTTTTTAATTTTTTAATGAGGATGAAGATGAAGAAGAAGTGAATTGAAGAAGAAGGAACGGGGAGGGGGGTACGGTATGTGATAAAAGAAAAAAAAAAGTAGAAGATAGGGAAGAGTGAAGTGAAGAAGAAGGGTGGAGGTTGGAACGAGACTCAGATGGACGAAGAAGAAAAGCAAAAGATAGGGAGGTGAGAAGGAAAAAAAGGTGAAAGTAAAACTGGAAAGTCAAATATTTTTTCATTCCACATTAAAAACCGTGTCAAGTCAGAATGAATATATTTCAATTTTATTTTTAATACCAATAATTAATATTTATTTAATTTTAATCTTTTTATTTTTTCCTCAATTTTTTTTCAATTTTATTTGTTTTAATTCTAAACCCTTCTTTAATGTAATCAATTTTGATTTTTTAATTTCAATTTTATTTTTAAATTCCAATAATTAATATTTAATTGATTTTAATCTTTTTATTTTTTCCTCTATTTTTTTCAATTTGATTTCTTTTAATTCTAAACCCTTTTTTAATGTAATTTATTTTTGTTAATTTTGAATATATACTTTTATTTTATTTATAATTATTTATCTATTTTTTTAATAAAAAAATATTTGCATTAATTTAAATAAGTTTTATATTAAAAATGATGAATATTGTAAAAAAAATGGGAGAGTAGGCATCCACGTAGGATTGGGTGCGCTGATTAGGCATCCACATAGGATTGGTAAGCTGCTGATTACCTAGAAACCGGCTTAAATACCATCGGTGAAAGAAACTGGTAAGTTGGTGTACTTTTCTGATAGAAAATAAAGTTTGTATACTGAAGTGAAATAAACGTCAAAGTTGGTGTACAATTTTATCCACGTTTTTAACGGAAATGTTAACAAAGGACCATTCGTAGAAATTAATATAATAATTGGGAACTAATTTAATAATATTTAATATGTAGGGACAAAATATGTAAGACAACCTATTAGGACCCTTTATAGAATTTACTCAAAAAGTAGTCTTTGTTTAAAATCATTGTTTAAAGAGAACCATAATTTATGCTATCAAATACTCCTTCTGTTCCACAAACTCTTCCAGTTTTGACTTTGGAAGAAAATAAGGAAAGTGAAATTTTGGTTGAGTTTCCAATTTTGCCCTTGATGTGATGGAAAAAAGTAAGATATGATAGTTTGGTTATTAGTGAAAAAGTATGATGTGATAGGTAGGGTATGAAAAAGTAGGGGTAAAAGTGGTTTTTTAATACTCCCTCCGTCCCTAAATATTTGTCACATTTGTATTCTCGAGGCAAAATATCAAGTTTTTTCAATTCATTTTATTTACATATTGATATAGAAATAAAAAATAAAATTTACATATCAAAAAACTACATGAAAAGTTCTTCGAAATAAGAGGTATCAAGAATATTTTATTTTATCAAATAACCAATGAAAATGTAGAAATAAACAAAAGTTCTCGCGACTGCTGAAAAAGCAAACGTTGTGAATATTTTGGGACGGATGGAGTATAAAGTGGAAGTATTTTGTGGAAAGCAAAAAAACGAAAGAGGAAGAGTTTTGTGGAACGGAGAGAGTAGTCGTTTGGACAACAAGGGCATTTTATCCTCTCAAACTAGGATATTTTAAGATGATATATGGTTTGAATTTATGCTCCAGAATTTACTCCATTTTGATCCATTTTTTATTTTCTTCATAAAAAATTGAATCCTTCATTTTTTTGTAATGCTACTTTTGCTTTTGTAATGCTTTTTTTTAATCTTTTGTACTACTGCTACTGTGATTTACATTTACAGTTTTTCTATTTATGACAAATGTTTCAACTACTATTTTTATTGCCAATTGTGTAATATACCTTGCTTGTTTAAAAAAATCTCGTACCAACATCATTTTTTCCCGAGCTGTATCGTACCAATAATTTGGGATCGGTAACGGTAAAATATGAAATCTCATACCGAACCGAAAGTTATGGTATGGTATTGGTACGGGCATAATCCCGTACCATGCTCACCCCTACTTATCATATCAGCGCCAAATCAGATTCAACTAATTTCATATACTTTTCTTACTACATGTGAAGGTATACATACGCCAATTCCTCAACTTACTACTCCATCCGTCCCTAAATAAAGTTCCCTTTTTGACTTTTTGAGGATTTAAGGGAAGGATATTTTTGTGTTGACTTTCCAAAAATACCATTGATGTGATGTGTAAAAGTAAGACACGATATGTAGATTATTAGTAAAAAGGTATGATGTGATATGTAGGGTATGAAAAAGTAAGAGGTTAAGTGGTTTTTTAATAGATAAAGGAAGTTCTTTCGGAGACGGAGGGAGTATAACTTTTTAAAATAAATAATCATTTTTAAACTCCGTATATTTAATTTCTTTAATACGGAGTATGTTGCCAAACGCCCGGTTGCCTACTTGGTGCTTTGTGAATCACTAAGAGGGTGTTTGGGAGTGATTAACTTGTGGATAAAGTGATTTTCACAAAAGCTGAAAGCAAAAGCACCTAATACCTGCTTCTCCGAAATGGTGTTCTATGTACAAAATAATAGTGGTGAAAAGCAGAAGTTGACATACCAAACAGAATAAAATCACTTTCACTCAAAGCAGAAGCTAAATTATTAAAAGCAGCGCACTGCCAAACACCCTCTAATTCGTTCACAAACAAATTCTTGGTATGGAAAATGCTAGAGTGCCACCACATGGGTGCTACCATGGGTGCACCCATGTGGTGGCACCCTAGCATGGTCCTCTTGGTATAGTGCGTGTGGCCGGATCTCTGATCGGATATCTATAGTCAAACAGATTAATCTTCGTCGCAAGTTCACAACCTACTTCACATAAAAGTAAAAGTCAAATTAAACCGTAATGAAATAGTATGTAATACATCTAATCAATCATATCTATACAGAAAATGAAATACTCCCGATAAATTAGGTAAACAAGTACTGAATCGAATTCGAAAATTTCAAAAAAAAATCAAGATTACTGAAACAAGGAAATACTGAAAAAGCCGAACCGTACTAAATGATCGGTTCGGCATTTGAAAATGATACGAGATAATTTCCCATACAAAATTTCCGAACTGAAGATATATAAAATATTATAAATATAACACTCTTCTTATATTTATTATCAAATAATAAATTTATTTAATATTTTGATTCCAATTTTATTATGTGTACATTGTTCTTTTCTTCAAGTTTTAACTTTTTGTTGATGAATTAAAAATATTAACATGCATTTGAAATACTACTTTGTCATCATTCATTTTATTTTGTTAGTGAAATAATATAAACTATGTTTCATAAGACATTCTTAAATTTAATTATTCATTTTTCAGTTTTTTAATGTTTCTTTATTTAAATGCATTTTTTACTTTTGAAAATAAAGTGTTTTGTTACATCTTAGATTATAAATTAGGTAGATATGTATTTATACTGATTTGTACCAAAATCGATACCGAACCATCCGAAATCATATCGAACCAAAATATTTGAAATGGTGTCGGTACAGTACCAATGGGTGGCCCGGAGGGTGTGCAAAGTGGCTAACCGCACAAGGTATCTAAAATTTTAAGGCCTCAGATTTTTAAATTCGAGATTAATTTTAAAGCAAAAGTATTCTAAAAAATAAAATACGACCCAAAATGTAAATTTTGGGCCGGACCAATTATATTTTTTCATTTTTCGACGCCGGCCCTGAATTCAATATGACCTAAATGCCATACAATGCCCACTCCTAATATTTTAGCCTTTTAAAATTATTGTTGCGAGCTTCATGTAATCATATATTATATATACTAGTATCACACCCGTGCGTTGCACAGGTCATATTTAAGTTACTAAATTATATTAACATCATTTTTGAATATTACAAATTAATATATAATGGAATATAGAGATTTTATTTTTTTAATTTACAAAATTTAAATAATTTACAATATTTGAAAAACTACTTTATAATTCAAATTACTCGTATAAATTTGTGAAAATACTGTCTTCGTTGCATGTTAGAATTTTCAAGTAATTATGATTTATTACTCTTGAAACTATAGCATACATTTGTCCATAACTAAAATATAAATAACATTAGTCAAAACTCTTGTTAAAAATTTTGTTCAGAGTTAATTGTTTTGTTTTTTTCATTTTGTCAAATTACTAATCAAGTGGAGATCTATATGGTCCATAAAAACAAATAGACCTGGCAAAACGGTCGGTCAGGTCGGGTTCGGGTTATTTCGGGTTCGAGTCACTTCGGGTTCGGGTCTAAGAGTGCTTGTTCATGACCCAGAGTTATCGGATTCGGGTTGACCCAACGGGTTAAGAGGTGTATTTAAAAATTAAAAATTTTTCTATTTAGAGATCATGTGATCCGAGCATTATTCAAAACAAAGAACGAAATCATAAAAGTTTGCAGTTTTATTTGCAACATACCAAAAGAGAATTGCAATATACCCAAAAAAATCACCTTTTTGCAGCATACCAAAAAAAATGCACTAGATAAAAAAATTGAAGATTCTTTCAACATACCCAAAAATATACTACCTCTGTCCCAAAAAGATTTACACGTTTTGACTAAAGTTGAAATTAAGGGAGAGATAATTTTGTGTTGACTTTCCAAAAATACTCTTGATGTGATGGGTAAAAGTAGGATGTAATGTGTAGATTATTAGGAAAAAGATATGATGTGATAGGTAGTGTTTGAAAAAGTAAGGGATAAAAGTGATTTTTTAATTGAAATGGGTAGAAGATTGTGGGACGCAATTTTTTTGGGACGGGGGGAGTATAAACGTTATAAAAAAATTGAAATTCTTGCATCATACCAAAACAAAAGAAAAGAATTAAAACTTGAGTTACACGTAGGAGCAACTGAAGAGGATTTAATAGGATTAAAAATTCCACTATTATTCTGGTGTCTTCTCACCATTTTGATTGAGTTGGCATCTAATATCAACGAACGGTGGAAGAGTGGGAGAACTATATATATATATATATATATATATATATATATATATATATATATATATATATATATATATATATATATATATATATATATATATATATATATATATAAATATATAAAACGCCTTTTGAGTTTTGAGTAGCCTAATGGGTATATCATATTTTAAATAAATATATAAAACTAAATAACTAATAAAAATAAATAATTAAGTACATAACCCGTCGGGTCAAACCCGACCCGACCCGTTCTGACCCAAAAATTTAACGGGTCTTCGGGTTCGGGTTGTTTCGGGTTCGGGTCGCAAAATCAATGATCAAAACCCGTTAATTTCGGGTCGGGTTTCGGATTAGTAACGGGTCGGATCAAATTTTGCCAGGTCTAAAAACAAAGGAGCATTTATAAATAGAAACTAAAGATTTTTACAGTCATTCGTTTTTACGAAAAGCAATACTTGTAGTATCTCTGTTTTATGTCATCTTTTGTTGGCATTTTACTCATTTTTTACTAACAATGAAAACAGTATTTTTTCATTGGGTAAAATAAACAATTATCTTACGCTCGTTAGACCTTTAAATAAATATTTGTGTAACCGAGATTCGTTCTAAAATATAAAAAACACTCTTTAGACAATTAAAATGTTTGAGTCCAATTTTTTTAATGTTATTTCACCATTTGCATCACCGGAATTTGAGGCGGTGATAGCATTTTGTTGAAAACATCGATCCCCAGATAAACATCATCTGTTCACAATGTACAATGTAACCAATTTCCCCTAAACATTAAAAAAATAAAATAAAACATTCGTGATTCTCAAAGTAGAATTATTCATACCCGGAGTACATCATATTCATAATTTATGATTCCATTTAAATACATTATAAAGAGACTTTTATTTGGATAATTATTTTTTTCATTTAACAATAAAAGTGAACTTTTATAGAGAACTTCCATTTTTGTTATTTTATTCATTTCTTTTCATATTATCAAAAATTTAATGTTTTGGAAATTTTATTCTAAGTCTATTTCATTACTGAAGAAAATAAGAGAGAAAATATTTCTGTATATTGAATTGGTTTGTGAAACTCTGGTCTTGAATACAAAGATCTAACCCTCTTTATATAGGAAGAAGGTAAAGTAAACTAGGAAATTTCTATTCCTACTAAAATAAGAATTAAACAAAATAGGAAAGATACTAAATACTAAACATAATCCAACTAGGAAAAATACTAAACCTAATCTAAAGGGATTCGGTTTCCTTCTTCAATCCCGCTTCCTTTTTCTGTTTCTAACACTTTCTTTCTTCAATCCTGCTTCCTTCTTCTATCTCTAACACCCCCCCTCAAGCTGGAACATGCGAGTTCAACATGCACAGCTTGGACATCCAAAAAAACGTTCCCTCGGTTCGCGCATCTGCGCAAGCTTCTCCGACAGGTCCCACGTGCAATTCCTACACGTACAAATTGCGAACTGCTCCAAACCTGCCAGATCGTCCCACAAGCTTCTCCGGCAGGTCCCACGTGCAATTCCTACACGTACTAATTGGGAACTGCTCCAAACCTGCAAGATCGTCCTACAACCTCTTCATCTTCTCATAATATTCTATTATGGTGATATTCTTCTGCTGGCATTCCGCCAAATCCCGCTTCAACTGCTGAACCCTCGGTCCATTAACCACAGAGAAGCGGGCCTTCAAATCATTTCATAGATCTTAAACTTTTTCTACATACGATATGCTGGATCTCAAGGCTGGATCAATCGTGTTCCGAATCCAAGAGACCAACAATAGGAGACTGCCGACGGGACGGTCGATGTGCTCGACCGTTTTGAAGCAACGGTCGACCATTCCGGCACTTCGGTAGCAGCAGTAGGCGACGATCGATGGACGCGATGCCGGTCGATCGTGAACAGTAGAGGTGGAAAGAGTTGTTTGTCTTCGTAGAACAACCCTTGTCCGACCACTTCTTCAAGAATGAGGGAGGACAATAAAAAAATAAAAAAAATCACAATATCCTGCCGGTAGGCATTGAATTGTGTATGCCCACCGGCAGGGAAAGAAGCATGTTTAAGGTCTCAAGAATTCAAAACTGGATCTGATACCATGAAAGAATTATTTGGGAGGAAATTCTGTAACGACCCAAAACCCGGCTTAGTAGTTAGCCGTTATTTTAATAAAAATAAATATAATATTTATTCACTCTAAAATATGAATTATTTGTAAAGTTNATCTTTATATTTTATACTACTATAATCTTTACTAGCATAAAGATTGTGGTAGACTCCGGCGTTGTTCGTGTGTCAAAGTTGGAGACCGGACGCTTGAACGGTTACGTTTGCACTTTCAACGCTCTTCCTACGACTTCTTCGTTTTTACCGCTTACGGAGAAAGGTACAAATTTCTTACTACTATAAGTTTTAGTACGTGATTCTGGGCAAGATAATCATGTTAGGATGTTAAAATTTTTATATTCCGCTGCCTATCCTTGCATGGTTACCTTTCAGTTAGACAAATCTCTAACAAGAGTGTATTGTTATATTTTTAAAAATATTAATTTTAAATTCAAAACTAAAAAAGTAAAAAGTAAATTTTTCTAAAATAATCCCACCTTTCATTTATTTGCAAAAAATAAGCATTTTCAAAAACTTCCATTAAATGGCCGTTAGTTTTTTAACGGTGACCCAAAACTCGCACACATGCGAAAAGGTGGGATTATTTGAGATAATTTTTCCTTTTATTTTTAACATTCAAACATAAATTGAGGCAAAAAGAAGGCTTACCATAACAAAAACAATTAAACTAAAAAAAATAAATCATTAAATATGCAAAAACAAAACAATCTAAACAACTAAATCTACAAAAATAGAGACTTAGCATAACAAAAATTATTAATTTTTTTCCTCATAATGGAACTCTTGGTTGTAACTTACATATTTCAATTTTTTTCGATTCGGTTCGGTTTTCATAGTCCAAAACTAAAAACGGAATGGTTTGGAACGGTTTGGTTCGATTTTTCGCATTCGGTTTTTGTTCTTTCGATTCAGTTTATTTTTTGGCACAATTCAATCAATTTTGATTCGGTCTTCGGTTCTTCCAACCCACCCCTAATAATTGGTCGATCTTCACTGCTAAGATTTGACGTATTACAAAATCAAAATTAAATAACGTAATCCGTAACAAGGGAGGAGTTCCCATGACATTAGAACCACATGTCATGGGATGATCTGGGAGCTCTCCGATGCTCCGTTCATAAAATTTATGGGTTTCTCCCCTAACCCCCCAGCAATTTCCCCCTCCCACCGCGCCCCGAACCCGAACACACACCCCTTCAATTGCACCCTCAAGTTAATTTTGACTTTGGAGTCAAACTTGACTCCAAAGTCAAAATTAAGTTAGAGGGTGCAAATGAAGGGGATGGGAGGGTGTTCGGGTCAAGGCAAGGTGGGAGGGTTTGCCGGGGGCTTAGAGGGAAGTAGGAACCGTCAATTTTACGAATGGAGTACCGGAGATCCCCCGAGTTATCCCATGACATTGCCAGGCAATGTCATGTAAACCGGAATGATTTTACAATTGATCAATGCTTGTCATATTATGATACTTATTCAATTGGGGCACTTTTGATATTGATAACCAATGTCATATTATGGCACTTGTTCAATTTGGGCACTTACACTACTCCAATCAAAATATAGAAAATAGATGGTTCGCTCCTCTTAATTCCCTCAGTAAACCCCCAGCAAGGCTCGTCCCTAATTCACCAATGCATCCCTACCAATTGCCCCCCTACAATTTTTTGAATTTGGGGTCAAAAATATTGACGCAAAGGGAGGCTAGGCTGCAGGGTTAGAGGTATATGAACTACCATGAAAGCAATAGAGTAATTAGTGTTCAAAAAAACATTTTATATAAATTCTCATGTAAAATTAAATGATAACAATTTATATATCGAATTATTTAAAAACTATATCAAAAGATACATAAAACAAAAAATGACATGACTAAAATTTTATCAAAGTAAATGATAAATGAAAATATGCAACGAAAAGAAAGAAAGAAAGAAATTAGTTTGACCACTAGTATAGTACTCCCTCCTTCTAGAAAAGAAGTATGTGTTTTGACTTTTAGTCATTTTTAGTGTGGTTGACAAAGCTAGTAAAATAGAGAGAGAGAGAGAGATGAAACAAAGGAGGAGACGCAAGAGATCCGCTGAAGAATAAAACAGAAAGGGATGGGGGAAGCAGGAGAGGAGTAATGGTAGGAGGGTATTTTGGGTAACTTGGGTGTAAAAAATTAAAATGGGAAAATTTTAATTCCAGACAAGAAAAAAGGAAAAATGAAAACTTTATTTCCGGATGGAGGAAGTACTATAAAGAATCAAATGTGACAAAGTGCATATTATCAAAGATGAACTGTAGAGGTCTCATTCTTTACATGATTGCTATGATTATCTCCATTGAAACACCCTTACGCCTATCGCTGAGTTCCTCATTATTATCAAACCATGTACTATGTAAGATGAGAAGTCTAATGTATTGAGAATGACAATAACTCTTTTAGAATCAACCATGAACCATGTCAATTCCATGGAACCCCTACATCCTCGAATAGAGCATTGATCCCTTCTCTCATCACCAATATCTACATGAACTATATATCCACCATTGGGTTACAAAAAGTTGATGCCAAATAAATTAGTTTGTAATCCATTTTCTAATACACAAAGACGTTCTAATAGCCTCTATTACGATCATAAATCCACGCCCAATACCATACTAGGCTGGTTAAAATTCATCATATACGTACTCCAAACCAGCCAAAAGAGTACAAGTCTAATGTCAAATTTTGCCCAACACATTGTTGTGCAATTAAACAACAATTCAAGAAAGCCTGTATATAGAGAAAATTATTCATCATTTTGTCTAATAATACAAAGCACAAAGATAAAATTGTATAGAGTATCATTGTAGTACCTATAAGTTAAGGGTGGGTCCTTCCAAACTGTTTTTTTTTTAAGTTAAAAGCAAAGGAAAAGGTGAGAGCTTAAGCCTTCTGCTTTCCTTTCCTAAGCTTTTCAAGTTCTGCTTCAGCATCCTCCAATCTTTGCCGTAGTACAGATACCCTCTGCTCCAGCTCCTCAACTGACCCTCGAACAAGAGAAGGTCGGTATGGTGTTGTAAAATTGCGTGAAAAGGCCTTTAGATTCTCAACACCACGAACCTGCCAAAAAGCCGCACATGGCAAGTTATAGTCAGGTTCAATTGAGACTTTATCAAATAGGTTTGAAATTAACAAAACTGAATATTGATACTGCAGAATAATAAAAATTAAAAAACATAAAGTGAAACAAATACAGTGTACAAAAAGGCAAGTATTTAAAGGCAAAATGGCCACCCCCTATGGAAAAACCAAGGAAAATAACACTAATTGTCTTCTTCTTTCTTATTAAAATACAGTTATTGTGTGTAAAAAGAGGTTGTGCGTGCGACTGGGTGGGTAGTGGTGTCAGGAAGTCAGGCAAACTCATGAACCAGACTTGTAGAAGAAGATTGCAACTTCTGCAGAAAGTTTTTCTTTTCAGAGGATTTTTTACTTTTCCTAACCCAAAACCCAATTCCAGTTGCTCTCGTAGCATGGGAGCAAAACAAAACATGGATTGTTTTCTGTGTAGTTCACACACAATTCCTACACCTAATTATGAAAAGGGAATCAAACCAATCCTTGGATTAGAGCTATTCCAACCAAGGCAATACATCTATTTGATTACCGATACGAATTGTTGGTACAAAATTATGCTAGTCCTATTACTTCTATTAATGGACTTAGTATTAATACTTTATTTCTATACTGTATTTCTATAATATATCTACGTCTTTTATTGACAAAAACAAAATGTGTATATAGTTAATGGTTCAATAATAATCCCATCATTCAAAAATTATGTTCCAATTTCCTATCTTGGCTTTCCTGACATTAAATTCCAGCTTCTTAAATAGCAACTTTTCTTTTGAAACCAAACTCACCTCCATACCCCATAAGATATAGACCTTCAATAGATGGAACTTTACCCTATTATGTGCAGTAAATTATCCTTTTTGAATGGGAAATGAACCATTCCTATTTTCTAAAAAGTTGTGTCATATCTGATTGAGAACATATTTTTTGGATGGAGGGACTCAGGGAGTAATGTTTATAATTTCAAAAGACAAATAATTAGACAAGGATAAAATTTAAATTGACAGTCTATCTAGAGGTGATATACAACTCACACTTTGAGTTAAATGTGTCGATACCGTTTCAAAGAAATTGGCTCAAAAAAATGCAAAGGAACAGTCACAAAAACAACTGTAAATCACTATTCATAAAAAAACGTTGTTGAGTTCAATGTAGGTAAATAGTTTGGGCCAAATCATGTGCAAATTGAATATAAGACTACTGTAGTTCTTAGAGATAACAAATCAGAAAATTTGTTTTTACAGATCCACCACTTATCACATGTTGCCTTACACAGTGCAGTACCACAGGACACCTCAGACTATCCCCTGGTTTGGTTGTGTTTTAAAAAAAGTGGATCAAAATATCATGCAGATAGAGAGTATGGGCACTTCACATGTAGTGACAGAATTAAAGGTTGTACAATTTAAGAGAATCTTTGTACCTCTTCTGCCAGCAAAGGTAATTTAATAATGTTGAAGTCATCATATAACATATAAAACTGATCCAAGTACTTCTGTTGCATCCGCATTCTTGCCTTGAGCAACTTTGATTCCACAACTAAAGACAACCAAAAAAGGTCCGCATTTTTTTATTAGTTTTCATTTATTCAGAGGAAGTTACAGTGCGGAAAAGAACAAGAGCTTGTAATACTTAGGGAAATAATACTACCTTCTTCATCAAAAATCACTTGGTTAATAATGATATTGTGTGTATCCATTTCAAATTTAGTGAGTTCTTGCACAAGCCTTTCAGTCTCATACAATGACAAGAATTCCGGTATGCAAACGCAGACAAATGTTGTCAAGTCCTGTTTTAAAAAAATAAAAATAAAAATAAAAAAAAGTGTTGAGGGTTCCATAGAAGATGATTAATATTTAAACTTCACTTCTAAAACAGGAAAAGGAAGAAAGATACTCCAGAATAGGTTAGGAAAAATGATCTACTATAGGCTCCTGCTCTATATGAAGTTTTATGAACTACAAACAATGAGAGCTAAATTAATCTTAGATGATCACGCTTTCAGAAAAAGTAAACATTGGAACAATAGTTGTCCTTAAAGACTTTAAGTTAAAGTGAAAACTGGAAAAAAATAATCACTCTAAACTCTCATATTCAATATTTAAAACATTTTCTAAACTCTGGATATATACTTACAAATGGCTGAGTTCGAACTGCACCAAATCCCTTATTTAAGCTATTTTGTTCACAAATTGATTGCCAACACTATAAAACCTACTTGCGTCTTCTCCCTCCCATTTACACTCTATTCAAAATGCTGAATGTGATTTAGTAGTACAAAAACAGTAGAATATAGGTCTTTCTTGGAAAATGACCGATCCAAAGAAAGTTCTTACCGGATCCTTGAACTGCTTGTTAACTTTCTCAATAATCTCTTTCATTCCCTCAAGCCTTCCTAATATTGCATCCTCACCAAATTCATTACCACCTCCAAAAAGACTAGTCAGCTGCAATAACATAATTGCAATTCCCAGACAAGTTTAAATTCTGAGGTTACCATTTTCTCATATTCATAAAATCATACAATGAAATGCTCAAGTGCTCAACTGCTGACTGCATCAAGGTTATTAGCTGACAACAGTGTGTTTTAAAACATTGCTTTTTTTCAGATACACACATCTCAGTAAACATGAATATGTATGCAAGGTCATGTGGGAAAATGACACATTGCAAAAATCATCATCAGTATAGAGGGATAAGTAGGAATGTGGCTTTGACACTAACTGGACGAATCAGTTTTAGCATGGAGGTATAAGTTTAAATTTTTAAAAATAAAACAATAAATGTTAGTCTACTGATTACATGAGTTCATTACTCCATGTATAGGATACACTAGTACTATTTAAACATTCTCACCACTCCATGTGCAGAACCATGGTTTGATTAACATTAACCTTAGATTCATATGCCATACTAATAATGCATAAACCTCTAATCAAGAATCAGCAGTGCATTAAGAGACTGAGGAAGGCAGTAGATTATATAGACACAGATGTAGGTCATGGAAACCTACAGTGCAGGCACACACACAAAATAAATAAAAAGAACTCAAGGGATATCAATATATGAAAATAGAGAGAAACCTGATTCAACACGGAACCAAAGCTGCTCTTGAATTTCATCATTTTCCCAAGCCCTTTTTCAAGAGTTGATGGAAATTGTAATAACCGGAGTGTGTGACCCGTTGGAGCAGTATCGAATACTATAACAGAATAATCCATAGTTTGCACTAATCTGGAAGAGAACATAGCAAGCTGATTTAATGTATCACCAATTCAGCACGGAAGCAGGAAATTTTAAACCCCATTCATCCCATGAAAATGTTCCACATTGAAATTGGCATGGTTATTAAATAAGGCAAAATTGCGTGTGGAACATACACACACACACACACACACATATATATGTATGTATGTATGTATGTAAATAACTCTGAAAGCAAACAGCTTCTTGATGTTAAACATTAATCTGAGTCTTTATATATATAATGAGAGAGATAAACATATATGAACCACACAATTTTTGTGCTTTGGGTCTAGTTACTAGTGTCGGACTGTCAGTATGTATGTTTCATGTGATCATGTCTCTTTGCTCTTACTTTGTTCATGTTACAATGTTTACTTTGTGCATTTGTGTTTGAGCCAGGGGTCTCTTGGAGAGAACCTCTATACTTCTGAGTAGGGATAAGGTCCCCCACCCTACTTTTTGTAAGATTTTACTGTTATGATTGAATCCACTCACACACACACAGAATCGATGAAGATGATGATGAGTCGAGAGAGTAAAGTTAGAGAGAGAGAAAACGTGAGAAATGATTTCGTGGTACAACCTATAATTTGGGTCGGGGCCCCATATCCCCTGGCAACCTCACCGCGGAGGGTGAAACGCGTGAGCATTAATATATGACAGTACATCAAAATATTAATCAGGCTCCACAACCTAACAATTCTCCCACTTGGAGACTGATCCTGTCATCAAAGAATTACATTCTCAAATAAAAAATGTCTCTTCATCATCAATGTCTTAACCACACTGCAACATGTGTAACAACTACAGAAGACCAACCGAGGTCTTGCACAACCCCAGTTTCCCAACATCAGCACAATTTCGTCAACATGTATGAATCTTCTTCAAGCACATATCACCATCCTCCACTGCCCTGCGAGTGAAATAGTACCGTCTTCTGATATGATTTGTCATAGAATAATAGACAGGATTTTTCACCAACCGTATGGCACTTTGGCTATCTAAGTAAAGAATCTTTTCTTTCCCAACTCTTCCAGATAATCTGATAGCATCTCTTTCCCGGGTTCAGCTATTGCCACATACTCAACTTCTGTAGATGAAAGATAAACACACTTCCAAAGCATGGACATCCAACTCACTGTTGTTCCACCTATGGTGTAAATGTACCCGGAAGTACTTTTACTCGAGTCCACATCCCCACCAAAGTCAGTATCCACAAAAACCTGTAAAATCACTTTGCCTTTGCCAAAACAAAGTGAAGTACTGGATGTACCTCGCAAATATCTCAGAAACCACTTTATAGCTTCTCAATGCTCTTTTCAAGGGTTCGCCATGTACCTGCTAACAACTCTCATTGCATGTGTTATGTCAGGTCTAGTGCAGGCCATAGCATACATAAAACTTCCAACTGCCGAAGCATATGGAACATGTGCCATATGGTCACACTCCTCAGCCATCTTGGGTTGACTGCTCCTTTGACAATTTAATGTGATTTTTCAGCGGAGTGATCCTGGGTTTAGCGTCTTTAACCCTAAATCTGCTCAGCACTTTCTCAATGTAGTGCTCCTGAGATAGAATTAAAGTGCTAGCAGATTTATCCCGAGAAAACCTCATCCCCAAAATCTGCTTCGCTACACCCAAATCCTCTATCTCAAACACTGAAGACAGCCTTGCCTTCAGATTGTTAATCTCTCTCATGCTAACTCCTGCAATCAACATATCATCCACATACAAGAGTAAACAAACATAAGAATTAGTGTATTTCTTGAAATAACAACACTAATCCTTTTCAGCCTTGGAAAAGCCACTCTTGAACATGGAGACAAACTTCTTGTACCACAGCCTTGGTGCTTGCTTCAATCTATACAAGCTCCTGGTGAGCTTGCACACCATGTCTTCCTTGCATGGAACAAATCCTCTTCTGGTTGTTGCATATCACCTTGTCTAGATCTCTAATACTTTTACATTTGTGAATATCCTTTAACCACTAATCGAGCCTTGAACCTCCTGTTGCTATCTAGTCCAGCCTTGATCCGGAACACCCACTTGCTCAGCAAAGCTCTCTTCCCTATAGGTAGCTCAGTCAAAACCCACGTGTTGTTCTTCTCAAGTGAGCTCATCTCATCATTCATGACTTGCTTCCACTTGACTGAATCCACCTGTAGGGCCTCATCAAAGGGCTATGGTTCCCCTTCATCAATTAGCAAGATAGTGTAATGAAGGTGAATATCTATTCGGTGCCCTATTCGTCTTGGATGGTCTCCTCAACACCTGCTCAGGTGTCACTTGCTCCACGTCTGGAGTTGGTTGAGTTTCTGTTTCAACATCTTTGGGGGTACTATTTTCCAACTCAACCTCAACTCCCACTTGTTTCGTAGTCTGTGAAACCTGTTGCTCTCTGTCCTTATGTAGGATAAACTCATCAAATGTCACATCACAATATGTCAAGATCTTTTTGTTCTTGTCATCCCAAAATCTGTAACCAAACAAATCAAAATCATAGACTGTGAAGTAACACTTCACAGCCTTGACATCAAGTTTATCTCTCTTCTCTGGATCAACATGAACATAAACATGCAACCAAAAGTCCTCAAGTGTGAGTACTTGAGTTCTTTTTTGGTCCACACCTCCTTTAGAATCTTGAACCCCAAACTGATTGTCCCCTGTTGATCAAGTATGCAGTTGTGCTCACAGCATCCACCCAAAACATTTTAGGCAGCCCACAATGTATCATCATACTCCCTGCACATTCACTTAGTGTTCAGTTCATCCTCTCAGCAACTTCATTTTGTCTTGCCTTACCGGGAACTGTTCTCATCATTTTAGCAGAATGTCTTGAACTCTTACTTGTCATACTCTTTTCCATTATCAGACCTCAGGCATTTGATTTTCAGCCCAATCTGATTCTCAATCTCAACTTTCCACTTTCTGAAAATCGCAAACACATCTAACTTCTGCTTCAAGAAGTAAACTCATACCTTCCTGCTGAAGTCATCAATGAAGGTGACATAAAATTTAAATCTTCCAAGTGATGGACCATTTCCAAACGCACTTATGCTGGTCAAAACATCAGCATGGACCATTTCCAAACGCACTTTCTTCGGCATTCTTGGCGTCTTAGTGAAGCTAACACATTTCTGTTTGCCCATAACACACAGCTCTCACAAAGACCCATGTCAACAGACTTCAGGCCTATAATGCTCCTTTTTCCAACCAACATCCAAGTCTATCATGCCAGAGACTCAAACCAAAAGCACCATCAGCATCAGCAGCCATGTTAATACACCCTGCAATGGTGTACAAAGTTCCAAAATTCAACTTTTGTACCTCGTGTTACAACCATAGCACCTTTCACATTTTTCCAGGAACCTTTCCCAAACTATGTTGCATAGCCTGTGCAATCCAACTGAATAATAGAGGTCATATCATTCTTGAGACCAAGAATGTATCTGACATCTTCCAATGTTCACTGATTTCCTGTTGCTGTTTTTATGCAGACATCCTCTCTTCCTTTAGTCAGCAAGAAACACCTTTCCAAAATTTCCAGATTTGAAATTTTGGAATAATTTTTTACTTGGTGACGAATAGAAAGATGCACCAGGATTCAACCGGGCTGACCACACTAAGGATTAGAGCATCCCCAATATCCTTTGCTGAATTTACACAGTCATTATCATTGATTTTGATCGGCCATGTTGATGCACCAGGATTCAACAAGTTATGTTCGATCTATTCGGAGACTTGCCTCGATTCTTTGATTTTAATCGGACATGTTGATGTTGGCCCATAAACTTACTTCTCCCCCTTCGGTCAATGCTGAGAGCACTGCCCCATGAGTCTCCCACTTCTCTCTTGTGAATGCTTTCACTAAGAGAATCACGGATTTTATCAAACTTTAATATCTCAAATCCACATGAACAGCTAATCGCAACAACAACAATATCCCAAGACTCAGACAAAGATGACATCAAAATCAACGCTTTAATTTCGTCTTCGAAACTAAATTCCACAGAACACGATTGACTCACAATCATATTGAAATCTGTTTATATGACCAGCCACAGAACCACTTTCAGATATCTATAAATTGAACAATCAACGCATCAAGTATACCTTGTTCATCGCAGATGGTTTCTCATACATATTTGATAGGGCCTTCAACAAACCTGCCATAGTCTTCTCCCTTCATGATGTTGAACGCCACGTTTCTTGACAAAGTCAATCGGATCATCTCCCTAACGCCTGACGATCCTTGAGCTTCCACTGCTCCTCTGACATGGAATCAGGCTTCACCTTGGTCAAGGGTTCGTGATGTTCTTTCTTGTACAGATAGTCTTCGATATGCATCTTCCAGAAACCGAAATTGGATCCATCAAGCTTCTCAATTCCAAGCTTCGAACTCTCTATCTTCAGTGATCTGTTGATTCTCCTTAGCTCTAGTACTAGTTGTTAGGATCGAAACCACTCACACAGAGAATCGATGAAGAAGATGATGAACCGAGAGAGTTAAGTTAGAGAGAGAGAGAGAGAGAGAGAGCATGAGAAATGATTTCATGGTAACATTCCGTAAGTAAACCTCAACGACGGTGAGGTTGAACCGCGTAGACATTAATATACAATAGCACATCAAAATATTAATCAGGATCCACAACCTAACATTTAATTGATTTGTTGTTGTCTTATTGGTATTTGGTAAGATTATCTATTCTCATAGTTTTGGTTGTTTAACATTGTTTGGTACTGTGTTTACAAATTCAACATATATTTGTAAATTTATACTCCCACCATCCCAAAATGTTTGCCACATTACGCAAAACGAAGCAAAATTTCTAGTTTTTTCAATTCATTTATTTAAAGATTTGTATAGAAATAAAAAATAGAATTTACATATCTAAAAACTACGTATGTTTTTCAAAACAAGAGGTGACAAGAATATTTTATTTCATCAAACAAGAAATGAAAACATACAAATAAACAAAAGTTCCCATGATTTTAGAATAAAAAATTGTGGGAAAATTTTTGGGACGGAGGGAAGTACTACTTATAATAATTTACAAATGCAGTAAGAGTACCACTCTTCTTCTCAGTATGAATTATGCATCATATTGTATTATTTTATTTTATATTAAATTGGCTTACGAGTTACGCCTTTAGGCCCAATTTTTCTTTTCAAAACCTTGCTTTTAAAGAATCATCTAACAAAATTTTCCCAACGCTTAGGCTAAAATTAGAAGTCTATAGCATTAATCTAGACACTTACTTAAGCATCTCAGCAAAACTCATAGCCTCATCAATTCCAGGAATTGCATTAGCCACTTCAGACAAAAATCCATCCATTCCATCTGTGTCTTCATGCTCAACATTAGGATCAACTTCCTAAAATCATGACGCACAAAGATATATCAAATTCACACATCACAAAGTTGAAATTTGAAAACACAATGAAATTTAATAACCACACTAGTGATAATTGAGAAACAACTAAAACAAAAAAAGCACCTCACAAATTCAACAAGTCAAACTACAAACTCATACTAAGTGAAGCAGTGATTGTTTAAATGATGATTCACTTCATAGCATACTACTAACAAAATATCATACCAAATATAAACAATATCAATATCAATGAAAAAATTAGACATTGAAACTGGCATAAACCTTGAAACTATGAACTTGCTACAACTAAAATTTTAAGAACAAAAAGAGGCCAACGTTTGTATGCCATTTAAATTCCAAGGGGTGTGAAGCCTGCATTACGTATGGATTTTAGTATTCAAAATCCTAGAAATTCTAGATGAGGTGATTTATTACGAGTACTATTGTTTAGTAATTGTTGAATTTCCAATAGTGTGTTTAGTACAAAGTAGTATTGTTTCCAATTTTCTAAATTTTCAATATATATAATATAACTAACAAAACAACACAACTAAGAATCATTATAAGTCAGATCAAGTATGGGGGTCAACATGTGCAATATTTCCCTTGTATTGCACAGCGAAGATGGATTGTTGCACGTATTGCCAAATACTTCATGGAAAGTAATAAGCTGGGAAATGTATTGTTACATTTTGATTTAGCCCATAGTTTACCAAATGATCATAGAAAAAAGTCTAATGTGCCATTGTGATAGTCCATCACTTACCCAAGTTAAAACATTGTATTGACAGGAATTAGATAATAATAACTTAGATCAGGAATAGAATAGAGAGAGATGACGCTTTGTATTGTCATTGGAATGAGATGCCATATTTATAGTACATGCCATTTGGTTGTTGATCACTATCTATAATTAGCGGAGATAATCACAGAGTACATTCTACTACAAATCAATCATGTGGGGATTACGCCCCAATCTCTTTGGCATAGCGCAACTACGATCCACACCAAGCAAGGCTAGGCCTTGCTCTCAAATTATCTCATCACAATTCCCTTATCACGTGGGTTTACACATCACTTTGGGGTCATACCGTTTTAACCCCTCTCATTCCGTCCATAGATCGGATTTCCATTTTGGCCTTTTGAACCTCAATACAATTAAATACTATGTAAGTAATTTGGCAGGATACATTTGAGCAGCTTCGAATATGAAATTATCACATGTGATCATCTGTGAACTGATTTAAAACTAATTTTGAACTTTGAAACTCACACACACAAAAACAAATGACTCGCAAGGTGTAAAGGCATCTGCTGTAACACTCGACTCGCAGTTTGCAGAAAATAAAAGCGTAAAGGAATGACATGGTAACATGATTACGTAGTTTGGAAAAATATTCCTAACTTGTAGAGCACACGCCCATATAATAGTCCTCCACCAAACCATTAAATGCATTCTAACATATACAATGTATTGAGATCTTCTCCAAATCGTTCTGACAAAATCTCTAACCTAGGATTTCTAACCCGCAGTCTATACGGATCCACTTCAGCTATCACACCGCCACCAAGGTCTCATCGAGAAACATGATTGGCAGCCTTTCCATTCAGCACAAGTTCATTTCAGATATCACAGTCTTTTTATGTTGAAGACTCTCTTCTTGATCTTGAACGCGATTTCTTCATGTAATGGAGGTCGGCCTATATGACTCAAGGACGTTAGAGCGCTTTGATCATCGTGTATTCTATGTTTTCTTCCTCTCTATCTCTTCAATGATTTTTGGGTTTTCTATTGCGTATAAATAACCTATTAAAACTCAGGCATGGTTTGAAGATGTAACTAGAAGTTATTTTGCATACAACTCCTTTAATCTTGATCTTCAATGAAGATTAAAACTCTATAATACCAACAAGTTTAACAGTTCGGATTCTGATTCCTAATCTTGTACATCTTAGAACAAAATCCCGTGCACGTGTTCCTAAATGGTCGTTCTAAAAGTGCTCATCGCCCTAAAAAACTACAGCTATAAATGTTTAAACAAAAACAATCTCTCCTAGCAAATACAACTCCTAAAAAATAGAGATTTTTTCCTATTGAAAAAATTTAAAAGTACCCAGCTTGGAACTACCACAATGGAAATACCGAGGAATCAATTAATCATACCATTGCATAGAGATTAGAGAAGCCATTGACGAGGGTGGGGAACTTCGTGAACCTCTGATTGAAAGCATCGCTTAGATTGTGGGCAGGGTCGGTGGAGATGATAAGCACAGAGGATCGGACCTGAGCGAGCAGTATACCGAGAGTTGAGCTGCAAGAGGTTTTCCCGACCCCGCCCTTCCCTCCTACAAACACCCACTTCAATGTCTCCTGCTCTAGAATGTTCCGGACAGAGCCTTCTGGTAAATCCGCCATGAGTGAACAGGCTAGGGTTTCTTCTCTGCTGGGTTTGATCTCTCCTCTTCTATGGCCTGAAGAGATCTTGTTCGAGAACCCTTTTCCTGTAGTGTTTCTGTGTTTTACCTTGGTCTTTACTCTTCCTTATACTCGCTAAAGCTAGCTTCAATGTCCATTCTTAAACGGAAGTGAGGGAAGTAATAACAAAAAGAGAGTGTATCCCATTCATTTGTCCACCCACCGTATGGTAAATTGGTGTACGCCAAAGGATAGGGGACAAATGGGGTACACCATTTGGTGTACTCGTAGCATTTTTCTAACAAAAATGGTAGGGGTACACCAATTGTGTACATCATTTGTCCCTCACTCCCTCTTTGTCTACAAAAAAAACAAGATATTAAAAAAAATAAAATAAAAATGAGTGATGGAGAAGGGGTGATGTACATTTGGAGTACACCTTTGGTGTACTTCTAGCATTGCTCAAGTAATAATAATGGAGAAAAATTTTTGGATTGAAAATTTTTGGAGAGGAATAACAAGGGACAATTGAGCAAATGTTGATTGTTTATCTTTTCTATCATCTCTGATGGAACCAAAATTTCACCATTTTTTGATTTTGGGGGTATGATGGAATAAATTAAAATGGATCTTTAAACTGTCTGCGCTTCTTTAATTAGCAGTTAGTCAAGCAACGCAACTTTCGATCTTGAGTCGGGGGTCTCTTTGGAAACAGCCTCTCTACTTTCGAGTAGGAGTAAGGTCTGCATACACACACCCTCCCCAAATCCTACTCTTGTGGAATTTAACTATGTTGTTGTTGTTGTTGTTGATTGTTTATCTTTTTTATAGATTGAGAAAGTATATATTAAAATTAATATTTTTTTGTAAGAAAACTAATACTGTTCAAAAATCTATAGTATATACAAAAGCAAAAGAATTGGGGAGAGAAATCAAAAAGAAAAAAGAAAAATAAAGATGGTATTTTCCCGCCCAGCATGTTGTCCTTTGGACTTCCCAAGCTCAAATATTACTCTTCCCTATATGCCACTTCATCTCTTTGGAAATCTAAAAAGACAACTACGGAGTATTTTGATGACAATAAATGCTTTTTTTTAAAGAATGTGGTGGATCGTTGTTTAAAATAATAAATGTCTTAATTGTAATTAATATCTCTTTCAAAAGGGTTATTCATTTCGTGGCTCAAGAAAGGAAAATGCTAGAGTCACAAACATATAGTTCACAAATTTAACAAACTTTCCTTTTATGGATTTTAAATTAAAATATCATTTATTATTTGAGTGCATCTTATTTCTATGAAAGTTTTAAAAAAATAAGTTTGTAAATTTTGTGAACTCTTTGTTTGTGACTCTAACATTACTCCTCAAGAAATAGAGAAGGAAGAGGTTTAAGTGTTTGACCGTCTATATCTCCATTCTAAAATTAACTTCTCAATTTGCCTTTTGTGATCAAATTTTTTAAACTTTGAGTAAATATTACGAAAAAATATATTGAGTATTCATATAAATTTAGTATCAATTGATTTATTTTGAAATATAATTTTGAAATATTTTAATTTTATAAAATATATTTATATATAAATAAAATTATTAATAGTCAAAATATTGCATTTGAGATATTAATTACTCCGTATCAAAAATTAAATGAGAAGTTGATTTTAGGAGGGATAGAGTATATAATATGGAGGTAGCTCCATTTTGGTTCACTTATAAATATAATTTTCTGAAAAATCTACTACTACAGAAAAGGAAAAGATTTTTGGAAAAATTTTCATGACCTAAAAATTCTACTCCCTCTGTCCCATTTTAAATTGCCTATTTGCCTTTTTCTCCGTCCCAAAATAAGTTGTCTGTTAGTTGTTTTCGTAAACTTTTAAAAATAAAATTCTAAATTACCCCTAAAATAAGTCACTTTTCTTCACCTTATCTTCTCATTCAGCATCACCTCTCCTAAAAAGTTATGGCAATTTCGGAAAATCAACTCTATTTTTTATTTTCCTTAAATATGCTCAAAAGTCAAAACATGCGATGTAAATTGGAACGGAGGGAGTAATTTTTCTGCTCCGTTGATTTCAGTGGCCAGGAAATAGCCTGATCTGATTCTTTCTTAGTCCTTGGGATTGAAATTACAACGCATTTACAGTGTTTTTCTCCACACGACTATATGGGCTTGAAAAGGCAGACTTGGGGAGATGAACCAATCTATCTAATATATCAACATACCAGGCTTACTAAATGAATCCCCTTCACTTCACATATCTTCATCATCTATGGAGTAGGATGATGTTGGCGCTGGCGACATGAAAAGTAACATTGAAGGTGAAAAACTGAATAATTTGTCATTGTTTCTGAAAGATTTGCGAGTTGAAACTATAGAAAGGAATGGCTAAACAATTCTTTATGAAAAAGATAGAGCAAAACAAAAAAAATAGTGGGTTTAGATCGAGAGAAAAACAAAAATTTCTAGACAAATAAATGAGACGACGAAGGCCACGGTAAATGAGACTTATTGTGTGGTGTCTAGCAAAATCTCTAACTTTTATGTGGGATTTTAAATTGAAATATTTGCACTAAATAGCACTAAAACTTAAGTCATTTCCCTAAATAGCACTTAAATTGTTTTATTTCCTAAGTAGCACTTAATAATGTCTATAATGACCAGTGATGACGAATATTTACTTGAATAATGACTAATGCATAATGACTAAAAGTGCTATATTGGGAAGAAAAACACATGTAGTGCTATTTAGGGAAAGTCATTATGTTTTTGTGCTATTTGAGTAAATTTCTCTTTTAAATTCCATTTATACTCAGACCTATAAAACCATCAAAATCCATATTTTATAAAAATGTTTGAAAATCTACCGATTTTTTAATATCATTAGATTTAGAGGGAAATTTTAAAATTTGAACTGAATATATTAAAATTTTTAATGACTCTTTAAAATTCGAATTGAATACTCTCATAGTTAAAATGACTTTTTAAAATTTTAATTGAATACCACTAAGTTTTAAAATCTGAAAAAATCCCACAAATTTCTGATTAAATACACCCCTCAAGTATTTAAAATCCATTGGAAACAATCATATGAATTGAGAGTCAAACAAATGTGCATTGGAGTATAAATTTTAAATTATGCGCATAGTCGATTACATAGATCTATAATCTAGAATCAGATTTGTTATTTCAAGAGAAATACTCACAAAAAATAGCAACAACACAATTGGGAATTTTCATGGCAATATTATTAGGGATCTTCAAAGCAAGAATATTTGGAGTTTATTTGGTTAATGTATTAGGTCTAAATGTTATTTCTTTTTGATGAATTTGTTTTGGTTAATTTGATCATATACAAAGTGACAATGGTGCTTGGGTATTTGGTGTAGTTGTACAAATTTATCTTTTGAAGGGAGATTGCCATATTTTTATTCAACTCCATTGTTGTTATCTTTGGTTTCATAGAAAAAATTGTATCGTTTCTAATCTATTTAGAGAACGTAACTAAGAGTGAGTAATAAATTTTTCAAGATGTGCATTAACATAAGAGTTCTTACTTTGAAAGACTTTCTGTTTCATATACTTCACACTAATCAAAATTACTATATGCCATAATGATTTTACATTTTAATTATATATTTGAATTTGGATAATTATATTACGGAGTATTAAGTTCTCAACTTTAAAATTTTTGGAATAATTATTTTTCCGTGCAACGCACAAGTATGAATCTAGTATAAATAAATTAAGGAGAAGTAATATTTTATGCTTGAATTGAAAGGAAAGTGAAGAAATGATTTTAGTTTTAATTTGTATGTAGACGTAGTTGTTCATAAGAGCGACCCCAAGTTTCCAATAGACTTGGTAAATTGGTATTCCAACAACCACTCACCTATACTAACTTCCGTCATGTTCTCTTTACGTGATTTGAATGATTCTGAACCTATTGAAATTAGTTATGATCTATCTAACCTGAATGTAGTTATATTTAAATATGTTTTTGATCAGATTAAATTGAATGATTCTAATAAGAAAAAGTAATAAATAACATGATCTTCGTCTTTGTTTTAGTTCTAACGAGATTTTTGAAAAATGTCAAGTTTGGCAAAAAATAATTGGAGTTACAATCTTTGCAAATAACTATGTGACTTGTAAAATGAAAAATTGTTATGATTCTCTCTTCATTTAGAACCTGTTCTTTAAGACTTGAATTCTTAACTTCCAGTTTCTTCCAATTTCTTCCAGTTTCTTCCCGTTCTTCCAGTTTCTTTCAGTACCTTTCATTTTCTTCTAGTTCCTTCCAGTTTCTTCCAACTTTTATCATTTTCTTCAAATTCTTTCTACTCCTCAACCAATTACTCTAAAAATGATATATTTCAATGTGATTATTATTATTATTATTATTATTACTAAAACTGTTATTATTATTATTATTATTATTATTATTATTCATATTAAATTATTTTTTTCATCTTACTAAATTATTCATATTACTAAATTATTATTATTATTATTCATAACTATAGTTTATAAATTATTTTTTTCATCTCACTATTTTTAGGATTCATACTTATTATTTTTTCTTCAACTTTTTAATATGAATAAGACATTTTTTGTATATTAGTCTACATGATAAAACAGGAAAATATCAATATATTAAATTATACAAAAAAAATTGGATAAAATAGTTACATTGATTGTTTTATTAATATAACTTTTTATAAGATATCTCAGTTTTCCCTTTATTACTTAAAAAATGCCCATTTTTCTATTTTTTATAAAAAAAAATTGTAAGTCAAAAGAGCTTAGAGAAAAAAAAGACTAAAATATAAGTAAAACAAAAAAAATGTAAAAAAAAGTTCTATGTCTTTATTCCAAAATAGGAATTCAATGAAAATAAAATGTCAATCATGAAAGAAACAATGGGTTTGATTATGTGACATGTATGATATTTAAAATAAAATGTTTTAATATATAAATTATAATTACAAATATATTATTTATAATAAATACTGCATAAATAAATTAAGGTGCAATATAACTACACAGCCTTTTTAAAATTTACTCCGTAATATTTTTATAATTATGCTAACTTTATATTATAATTATTTTTTGTAAAAGTATTTTTTTGTATTTAAAAAATAACAATATTTTTTTATATCTTAAAGACATTCACTAAGATAACGTGATGATGATGATGATGATT